TTTGGCAACCCGGCCTTCAACCAACCCGGAACGCCGCAGCAGCAACAGCAGCAGCAGCAGCAACCACCGCAACAGCAGCCGGGGCAGCCCAATCCTCAAATGATGTATAACCAACAACAGCAGTTCGCAGGTATGGGACCCCAGGGAGGCTTCAACCCCGGCGCCAATCCCCAGATGATGCAGGGCATGCCAGCTGGCATGATGCAAAACCCTGGGATGGCCAATATGCCACCCAATGGACAGAGTGAGTTGCCTTGCTTTTTTGTGTGACGCTGTGGTCTATAATTGATTTGCTTGCGCCTCCTATCCAGAGCGTCTAGCAAAATGCTGATGCAATTCGTATCCAGCTGAATTGGACCCAATGGCCAGTTCTTCTTGCAATATGCTAACAAAGATGTAAATGCAGTGCCCGGATACGGCCAACAGTTCCCCGGAGCCGGTTACGGTCAGATGATGCCCGGCGGCGGCGGCGGCGGCATGCCTCAAAACTTTGCGCCGAATAACTACATGATGCCCGGCGGTATGCAGGGATTTCCGATGAATCAACCGGGCATGACCCCCCAGCAGATGCAATTAATGCAGAGGATGCAGGCACAACAAGCAGCTCAACAGGCAGCCCAGCAACAGCAACAGCAACAGCAACAACAACACCAGCACCAGCATCAACAACATCCCCAACAACAGCAACAGATGCCGCAGCAACCTCAGCAACAAATACAACCGCAGCCGCAACAACCTCCCCAGCCTCAACAGCCTCAGCCTCAACCCCAGCAACTTCACCAACCGCAGCTGAATGCTGCCATGCCACAGGTCTCTACACCTCAAAGACCGCCGAGTGCAGCCCAAGGCACTCCCACGAACCCGATGCAGCAGCAGCAACAACAACAGCAGCAGCAGCAACAATTCTCGACACCACAGCCCCAGTCTCAAAATCAAACTCCACAAAACGCGCAGCCGCAATCCGCGAGTGGAACACCCCAAACGCCAACGTTCTCAGCCAACCATGGCGGTGGTATGACCCTTCCTGCATCGGGCACGCCAATCAGTCCAGGTGCCGAGTCTAGGGAAAAGGAGAGGTTTGCGCTGCTCTTGGACATCAACCATGAGCTGCTATACGAATCAATACAGATTCAAACCACACAATCGGAGCTTAAAAAGGAGAACCCCTCGCCCAATGGCAATCCGGCAGAAAGGAAACCCACCGAAGAGGAAAACTTGTTCCAGCAAGATTATCTTCAGTAGGCTAGAGCTCTGTATTGGCGAAGTTATGGTATTCAGCAAGCTAACATGGGCGTCCAGGTGTATGAGACGACTACAGGCAAATCTGTCCTACATGGCCGCCATGGCAGACCGAAAACCGGAGGTCAAAGCACCGCCCTGCCCGGCGTATCTCAGCGCGCCCCCCTTGAATCTTTCGCTTAAGCTGAGAGCTGCACCAATTAGGGCAGAAGGACAAGATGCGAACATTGATCCCGTTGCGGACAGGGCTGAGCGAGACCAATCAATCAAGGATCTGTATCGTCGACTCCAAGCAGTTTTCCCGGGGTTTGACCCGAAGAAGGAGCCCGTTTTCCGCCCTGGTGCTGGACAAAAGGCTGGTATTGGTCAGGGGCCAAACCAAGCCAGTCCAACGGTTCCGCAAAACCCTCAGATGCCAAACATAACCGCACCGCCTGGCCACCCTGGGATGATGGGCTGAGGGACGAGGCGGGGAGCTGTCCATGTTGAGCATGCTATATACCCTTTCTGGTGAGCGGATACGAATGCCAGATGAGGGGACTCTTTCCCCCTTGCTTTATTTTTGCTTTGGATATTTGGAGTTGAGTGTGTGCGACGGGATGGTACATAGCGGTGGACGACATGGCTTGTACATATCACAGACACGGAGCTATGATGGCAGGCAGGGTGATGGGTTAAATCAAGAAGGCTCTTTTTTTCTCTTTTCCTTTTATTTTTTCCGGGTATGATGAGGCGAATTGCTTGGGACGGTGTAGGATAGAGATTGGTGTTTTGTTCGGGAGCATGAGATTTGTTTAAAGAAGGCTGAGGCGTATCATTGAGTGTCGTGTTTACTGCATTGTACAGCTAGCTAGAAAAGCCTGGCCCGATGGATTTTCTGTCATGTGAGTGCGTGTTGATGCACGACAGCCGGTGTGAATTTTGGTTGTTGTTTTGGAGAGCGAAAACCTTAGGGAAATGATTGTGCACAGCATGCTGAAGGGAGCTTGCTCATGCCAAGTATTCGGCGAGGCATGCGGTTGGCCGAGGTGGCGCTGGGCTGCAGCATCTAGAGAGGGTTATTATCGATACTGCCAGTACTAATTATGCCGTTAAGCACAAGTTCAGCAAGCGGCATGCCGGGAGGCCGGGCCGGAGATGCCTGGCGGCTAGGCTAGGCTGGCATCCATCCGCCTTCAATGTTCCAGACTTGGCTCCACTACATGAAGGGGAGAAGAAGCAAGAGAGGCGAGAGAGGAGAGGCTACAGCACCCGAAGCGACCTCACCTGCCTGGCGGATGTAGTTGGCAGAAGCATGACCGAATTGAACAAAGGTTTCACTTAAACATTACAATTGTAATTTTCATCCGTGATGGATTCTGGAATACGTTGGGGCACATACATGGCCACACCTCAATCCCTAGCCATGGCACGGCGGACCGTATACAAGTTGATGGTCGCCGCGGCCGTGTTGCCAGCTGTATTGTCCGCGCAGATTCCAGTCTCCAGTCCCCTCTCCGCGCAAACAGGCAAGAGCCCCTTCACGGGTGACTTCAACAGCCATGTGGAGGGTCTGATGGATGAGTGGAAGTTGGCGGGCATGGCAGTGGCCGTCATCGATGGCGACGACGTCTTCACAGAGGTATCGTCCGCAATGACGCAACGGGACGGCGGGAATTGTGCTGAAGCGTGATGCAGGCATACGGCTACTCGAACCTCCCGGACACCAAGGCCACGCCCGAGACGCTCTGGTTTACTGGCTCGACCACCAAGGCTCAGCTCGCGGCGTCTCTAGCCCACCTCATCGACGCCAAACACCACCCGGCCCTCAAGGACGGCTGGTCCACGCCCATCTCGTCCATTATCCGCGACGACTTTGTCCTCCGGAACGGGCATGCCACGGCGCACCTGACGCTGGACGACGCCGTCAGCCACCGCACCGGCGTGCCGAGCCACGACTTCGCGCTGGCGACGTACCCCGACTCTAACAACGCCAGCACGCCCGTCGGGCACGCCGTCCGGAACCTGCGCAACCTCCCGGCCCAGCTGGAGCCCAGGCTGGAATGGCACTACTGCAACCCCATGTGGCAGGTCCTGTCGCACGTTGTCGAGACCGTCACGGGTGCGTCGTTGCGCGAGACTCTGGAGAGCGTCATCTGGGCCCCGCTGGGGATGAAGTCGACGTTTCTGGACATGGACAGCGCCAGGGCGTCCGGGCTGGATCTCTCCACGGGGTACTGGTACGACGACAAGAAGGGGGAGCACGTCGCCATGCCCTTCATGGCCACGGCCGAGGTCTCCGGCGCGGGGGCCGTCATTTCCAGCGTGGTCGACTACGCGCGCTGGGTAAAGGCGCTGCTGAAGAAGGACGCGTTTCTGTCCGAGGCCACGCACGAGGACATTGTCCGGCCGCGCTTCATTTCCATGGCGGAGCCGAGCAAGGGCACCGACGTGACGACGTACGCGCTGGGCTGGTTCCGGACGGTGCTGCACGGCGAGAGGACCATCTGGCACTCTGGCTCGACGGGCACGCACGGCGCGCTGGTGTACTGGCTGCCCGAGAAGCAGTACGGCGTCGTTGTCTTTGCGAATTACCCCAACGGCGTCTTGGAGGCGGTGACGTATCGCCTGCTTGAGGACAGGCTGGGCGTCCCGCAGGACAGGCGTATCGATATCAACGGATTGTAAGTCTAGTCGGTTGAAGCCGGATGAAGAGAGAGAAAAGAAAGCACCGTGAACACTAAATATTCCGACGCAGACAAAAAGAAGGCCTCCGAAGAAGAAAGCAGGACCTTGCCAACGCCACGGCGATCCTGTTCCCAAGGCTGCCCTCTCCTCGTCTCCCGCCGTCCGTGGGCCCGTCGCTGCTCGCAGGGACGTACTACCACGATGGATATGGGAGGCTCGCGCTCAGCGAACAGACTGGGGACGACGGGAGGACACTGCTGGTGGCGGATCGGCCAGAGTTCGTTTGGGCGCAGCGGGTGACGCTGGAGCACGCCTCCGGGGACTACTGGACGGCGCGGTGGCGGTTCAGAGACGAGGGCCCCGAGACTGGGCAGTTTTTCAAGGCGCGCTTCGTGGTGGGCAGCGATGGAGAGGTGGAAGGACTGGAGGTTACGTATCGAGCTGGTGTAGACGGTTTCCTGGACGGAGTCGTGTTTTATGCGAGGTCCAGGTAGGCGGAAACGAGCTCATTTGCGGGCCGAAATGTAGCTTGGATTTGAGAACCTGTGTAGCTGCAAGATGAGGGCGAGAATAGCCCACGATATATCCAAGTTGCGTTGATAGAGGCGTGGTTGAGACGGGAATGGAACGTCTAGAGATAAGTGACTGGGGTCCTACCGCAATGACTCTTATTAGCATCTACTTTGAACAGCCGTTTACCGGCATCGAAATGAAGCATCGATTTGATTTACGAGGCAAGGCTTATCATGGCACAACCAATCCCTGGCCGTGTCCCATCATGAAGACAAAGGTCGAAATCTCGGCCACTCGCGTACCGTGCGTAAATGGATACGAAGAAAAATGCACAGTGTTTCCCCCGCGGCCAGCCGCCACCCGTGGAGCCACCCGACCCCGACACCCTCCCGAGAAAATAGGCATCGTCATACCACGACTACACACCTTCACTCATCCAACCTGCATCATGTCCTCACTCGCCCTCGCCCAACAACCAGCATAAGAGGGAAATAAAAGACATTCAAAGCCGCCACGGCTTTCCAAAAACTCACTCATTGATGCGCTGCACACGCCCCAGGGCACTGTTCGCACGCACCACCATGGCACTGTACCGCCGGCCATCCCAGGCCAAGCTCATCTGTAAGCCTGCCTCACCTTGAAACCAAGAGAAGGAGGGGAAAAAAAAAAAAGACACCACACCTGCAGAAGCCCTCCGACGGGGGTTGGCTCGGGAAGAAGGAAGAAGAAGAAACAAGATTAAAATAAAATAAAATACCAACGCTCCCTCGCTCCCAGTCGCACCGGCCGGCTCCTCCCCCCACGGCCAAGCCGAGCAGTTCACCAAGTCGACGCTCTCGAGAAGGGACCTGCACCCGACGACGCCGACGCCCCAGTTCAACAGCTGGTTCTCGCAGGCGCAGGCCTCGTCCATCCCGCAGCCCGAGGCGTGCACCCTGTCCACGGCCGAGCTGCCGTCGGGCCGCGTCTCCTCGCGCATCGTCTACCTCAAGGAGCTCGACGCGGCGGGCGGCTTCGTCGTCTACTCCAACTTTGGGACGTCGCGCAAGGCCGCCGACCTGGCCACCAACCCGCACGCCGCGCTCGTCTTCTTCTGGGCCCCGCTGCAGAGGCAGGTGCGCGTCGAGGGCGTCGCGAGCCGCTACTCGCCCGGCGAGAGCCAGGAGTACTTTGACACGAGGGTCAGGGGCAGCAGGATCGGCGCCTGGGCGAGCCGCCAGAGCCAGGTGCTCGAGCCGGACGGGGCCGTGGACGGCGACGACGGCAGGGCCCAGCTGGAGGGGTGGGTGGCCGACGCCGAGAAGAGGTTCGAGGGCAGGGAGGACATTCCCGTGCCCGACTTCTGGGGGGGCCTGAGGATCGTGCCCACGCGCGTCGAGTTCTGGCAGGGCCGGCCGTGCCGCCTGCACGACCGCTTCGTCTATGTCAGGGAGGAGGGCAGAGACGGCGAGGACGACAAGTGGACGTTGGAGAGGTTGAGCCCCTAGAGCAGAAGAACGAACGTGGGGGGGCAGGCGTAGATTTATGGCATTTTGAAAACGCCCAAAAGCAAGCACAGACGTAGACTAGAGTACTCTATCGCGACAGAATTCGTAGTATATTAGGCTATGGACGGACGGTTATTCCCCAAAAAATTTTGAAATTGCCGTCGAATCCCCAATCATGTTCAGCTGCCCATCGCGGTGCAGCGCCAATTAGTGCGCTCATGCCATTTCCAATATAATAACCCGTATTGCCCGTGCGAAATGCTGCGCCATGTGCCCCGGGAAGGTTCTTCCCATATTAAACCACATTAGAAAGCATAAACTCCGTGTTTCCTTAGTCAACAACCAGGGTATGTGAGCAAAAATGAAAGCCAAGTCTGAGCCAGAGATCTGCTAAACAAAAATAAAAAGCACCCATTCTCAGTAGCAAGATGAGGAAAACGCCGTGTGAATCCTAGCCTCGGAGACGATAGTCTCCCAAGGCCCAGTAGGAAATGTGTCATGTTGACACGAGCCCGCTTGTTATCATGTTCCTGGTAAACGCCAATCTGATGTTTTGCAACATAAAAAAAAAAAACAATTATGGTATCATATCGCTCATGTGCGGGGAGTGATAACCAAAACCCATAATCTAAAAGTAGGTAGTCCCGAGGGTTTCACTTCGTGGCGTCGTCACGGCTTCGCAAGACGTCGTGCACGGAGACTCCGAAGGGGTCAAAGACAGGCCAAGTCCAAGGGCCGCCGTTGAAGGCATCATGGTCTTGGATCGACAGTGGCCAAGGACGAAATTGCGATCGATGTTGCTGCTGCTGCTGGCAAGGCTATCGGGTGGTGAGAGCGGGGGTGTGTCCCAATCCAGTTGCCTTCCGGCCAACTGCATGTCCACCATGGCATCGGACAGACAGTCCTCGTCGCACAGTGGCATGATTCGATAGTTGAGGCTCTCCATAATGCATCGCTCAGTGGCATTGAGCTGGTCGTGTGACCAGGTACCACGGCCCCAGGCATCGCAATAATACTGGGTTGGCTGCTGAGGGTCCTCAATAAACTTGACAGCAATGACAAGCGCTGCAAGAATGATGAGCTCCGGTGGCACGGAGTCGATGTGCAGCATCTGGTGCTGTTGGTGTTGGTACAACAGCGGAGTCGGGGGGAGTGTATGTCGTTTGTTTGTCGACGAGGTGGCCCATGTTCCGGGCAGCAAAGGACAGGAGAGCCGCCAAGCTCGGGCAAACTTCTTGTCCAAGCTGTCGAGAATACATACCGCGAGGGCAACTGTCTCGATAGGCAAGTCGGCACGGCTTAGAATTGCCTGCACAATAGGCACAGAGGCTATGGCCAACGAAGCTGATGAAGGAATGAGGTTTACCAAGTGGATGGCGGGTCCTGTTGGGAGTATTCGTGGTCAGCAAGCTACATCAAGCCATGTGTGACGCGAGAGGAAAGGGCAGCAGTGTCCAGTGTGACTGGCAATGTACATACCTCGATATTTCGCCTTGAGAGGCTCTCCATCTTCTAAGCTGCTGGACGCAATTGTGCTCGGCGATTTGGATTCCTTGTATGTAGGGGGAGGTGTGGGAAGATTCGAAAGTGGTCGATAGGTGAAGTAGGTGCCGTTGTCGTCTGCCATGGCGGCAGCAACCTCGTGGTTATCTCGACGCATTCTGGGTAATGTGTAGCTTCCCAGCTCCTTCACCGCGTCTGGTCCTCAATTCAAAGCGCAGAAGGGTTTCTCCCATGTTTTGACAGCAGAAACGTTCCACCCGTCTTTCCCCCTAGCTTCCCCTCTTCCCTTGTTGTGCTGCTCTGTGGCGGCTTCGAAGCGGTGACGGCGGCTGCTGAATCTTCAGAACAGGGATGTGATCACGCGAGCGCCACAACCCACTTCAAGTTGGCAATGAGAGAAAAGAAGGGAGGGATAGTCCTTATATTCCGTGGTGATGAAAAGTGAGCCGAGAAGCGCAAGGAGGTGGGAAGGCTGGCTTTGATAAATGCCGTTTGCTCAGGACGAGACGGCCCGTCAGCTGCATGTCGACGGCAGGACTAGGCTGTCAATAAACATGTTCCTGGACCAGGCATCCCGAGGAGAAGGACATGGACATGGACCCAGAGCTTCGTCTACACGAGCTAGGGTACGGTACGGCGTTGTCCCGGTGGAGTCTTTCTTGCTCAGGGGTCCGTTTTAGCCTCCAAGCGCGCCAAGAGCTGGATTGACTGGGCAAACTGAAAAGCAGGCATGAACAGGCCGCTCGACCGTTCGCGGTTCGTTGTGTTGCGTCGTTCTGGAGGAGTGAAGATCATGGCCCCATTGGGTCAGTCGTGGGTGAGCCATGGCGACAGCCAGCATCACGAGCGGTGGAGGCGGAGCCAAGCCCAGGGTGAGACCGATTTCTCCTTGTCTTTGCCCTCCTTTCCGAGTGTGCTAAATATGTACACTGCTTCTCCACCATCTTTGAATGCATGCTGCATGTGGCATGTTGGTTGTTGATGTACAATTTTGGTTTGCAAAGGGTTCAGAATACCAGAGCCCAAAGGGCAAAAGAAAAGGGTGTCGTCGGTCGAGTCCCTTGGGCAAGAAAGTGATTCGTCAGTCGACAAGTCCACCTCCTGGTTCCTTCCCATCGTCTTTGTTGGGTATCCTCAGGTTCACTGCTCCATTGTGAGAGGACAAAGGGCTGTCATGATGGTGTGCTTGATGAGACAAATCAGTCACCTGTACGCAAAGGGAGAGATGCCATGAGTGAGAACTGCTTTGGGAATAGATTTATCCTGCATCATGAGGACAGGGCAACGAATGAGCCCTGCTGTATCATGGAAGCCCATCGCCAGCCCGACGGACGCTGCAGCCACCCAAACGGGCGACGGCAAGTTGACCCGACAGACGTAAAAGGCTCCCTCGTCTACGGAGCAAGTCTTGCATGGATACGGTGCCGGCTTGCCATGAGCAAGTCGCCGCCGTTCACATACATATAACGTTTGCCCTCCACGGTACCCGTAGTGATACACCACAAGTCACTAAGCGCCTCGTGTCTCAGATCGTGCTGGACGAGTTCGTGGGTTGCCGCCAACCCGCGAGCTAAGCCTGCGGATTTCATCCCAAGTGTTGCCCTCGGGCCCAAGTGGATGGACACAGGCACACCACAAAAACCAAAATGGTTGTGCCACGGGTCCAACGCGGCAGCCGACTACTAACTAGTACGGGTAGGCGGCCGCCGCCATCTTGACAAGTGGTTGAGACTTTTATTAGCAACGCCTCGCCGCTTGGCTTCAGCCCATCCATATCATCCATGAGGGTTGGTCTTGGTAACTGGCATCGCAGCACAACCCGGCACTTATTGGTTTCAGTTGCCGAAATAGTGCACAAGTAGTTTCCGACTTCAGCAGGCAAGACAATAGAGGCATGTCATTTTGACATGGTAAAATCCCGCCCGATCCGCCAAATGTCGTATCAGGCTTGGCATTCTGCACGGCCTTGGGCCTCCCCCTAAAACTGTGGGTACCGTTATTACGTCGCCGACGGTGACAAACAAGAAGGAGTATCAGGACGTTGAGGCGCAAAACGTTCAACTGAGCCTCGACTGGGTTCCAGTAATCTCGTTCCAGTTGTGCCTGGAGCCGGCGCCGTTCAGGGGTTTTGTACATACCTTGACCCCCGCCTATTTTTGGTGGCTTTCAGCAATTCGAAGCTTTCGGCTCAATAATGAACGACATCCATCCATATCGGATCCCTGGCAATAAATGGTCTGATATGTCGAGGCCGACAGACTGGCGACGGCATGATGTCGCCGCATGCGGTCCCACGAACTCTGCTCATCCGGCCAAATCTGGCTTGTCTCATGGACGACGTTGTGCTCTGTGAGATGCAGCGGCGATTCCGGGGAATTTGCTGATCGATTAATGCGGTCCTCTACCGTGCATCAACACGTCGACTTCGTCGTCGTCGCATAACGAAGGGTTGATGCGATATTCTGAACTGTTGGCTGCTCCTTGAGCGCGAACCCGCAAAACACGACCGAGGGCAGGGAAAGAGCGAGTCAAGGGGCCCCGACCCGGTGACGTCAGCCGTCGCCAACAACGGTCTTATCGATCCCATGTTCCACGACCTGATCTTTAAGCAGCCAACACGGTCCTGATTCTGAAATCTCCCTTCAGCTGTCCATCTTATACGCCGTCTTCGGCCGAATTTCTTTGCGCCGCCGGCGGAGCACTTCTCCAGCAGGAGGATCTGGATGGGTCAGGGGTCGAGTCCCCTCCTTTCAGGCCCCCCAAAGTCTGTCCTTGCGTGGCGTGGCCTGCCTGCACAGCCTCAGCAGCCAATAAATGATGCCCTCCAGCAAAGGCTCGGCGATCCTGCACAGGCAAACGGGAAGCTGCATGGACCACGTCGCGTTGCCGCCGCCCACGGTCCGATTGGTGGCTATGCTCAGCCAGCATGACGAGAAAGCTTCAAATTTAGCTCCTGGCGCGCTGGAGCCCTCCAAACGGAGCCATTTGCGCCGACGCACAACGGCATCGCGGAAGAAGCCGACTGCTGTCGCCATCAGGGATCGTCTGCATCGTCTGCATCCTCCAGAGCTACCCGGTAGCCGGGTGACGCAGCGCCAAAAGGGCAGTGCGCGCATTCGCTCGCGGCTCGGATCATTATGCCGGCCGGGACGCCGTTTGCAAATACATACATAGGTCCCCTACCAGTCGGGACGCATACTTCTCTTCAAGCGTAAGCGAGCAAACCGTAGGAGTAACCCATGGCTGAGCCTGTGGTGCTGGACTGGGTCTAGAGAAGCCGCAAGTCTACCAGGTTTGAAGGCATTCTACCCCTGTGTCGTCGACCTGTTCTCAAACAAGCCACGCGCTTGTGTTCAACCATGGAGCGGCGGCCAAAGGGATTGGGTATGCCGGCAGCTGAAGCTTATGTGCTGATTTGTGGAACATGTCATGCGAGCCGAATAACACAGCATGGGAAATAATGATATGTCGCCCGCAGAAGGTTGCATGCGAATAGC